TCTTAGTTTGTTCAGTGCCGTGACCATCTTTGTTCCATCTTCAAACACCTGGGCTCGAGACGGCATGGCTAAATAAGGTTAACAGCTATGTGTYAGATATCATGTTAMAGTAAAGTATACTTTAATTACAATTAAATTTCCTTCAACTGAGGACGAAGCTCGAATGATCAATCCTGAAAATTGTAATAAAGCATGTTTTTCACTAGCATTCTTACTTGGAAATGTTTTCACTTTCTCTAACATATTTTTTGCGTATTCCGTCGAAATAAAAGATTAAACAAAGAGTTTGCTATGCCTGCTTAGACAGTATACTTATTTAATAGTATACTGAACAATTAGAGATCTTTTCTGATACACCAACCTTTAATTGGATCGTTAAAAACTGACAGAATGTAGTTGATGCCCGATTTTCCTTTCATGTCAATGACCAGCGCTATTGAAATGTCCTTGACTGCGCGGATTTCACCACCCATACTTCCAGTGTCATCAATAGCAAACATCAATGTCTTATCGTCATTGAACCCAACCAACTTGTTAAAGAATGTTTCACCTAATTCATTCTTCAACTTGTTGAGGTATTGAGCACCATAATTAGTGACTGATCGTTTTCCAGATCGTCTGGTGGATAGAGCACTGTAAAGGGCTTGACCGAGCGTCTTTCTTGCGAAGGGGTAACTTTTCTTGGAAAGTGCCAACTTGATGTTTCTTGTTAGTCTGGTCAGACTTGTTTTTCTATTGCCGCTCGCTTGTGCTTCCAGTATTGACCTTTCAACTTTCCCAATAATTTCTAAGAAGTTGTTAGAAGGTTTATTTCGCCGACGAATTTTAGGCTTTGGTCTACTTACGCTCGGGACGGCGATAATAGGGAACTTCAGATTTGACAACGAGTACGAGATTGAGTACGAGTACGAGTTTTAAAATTGGCCTTAAGTATTTTATTAATCATGAATTGCATTCCGGCGAGTAGTTTGAAAGATCAAAGAAATAAAAACATGAAGTGGATTGAAATCCGGTATGGACAACACAACAAAAAGCTGGTTTGAAAACTCCTACTCGTACTCAATCTCGTACTCGTTGTCAAATCTGAAGTTCCCTATTAATAAATCTTCTGCGGCGACGAGAGGACCAGCCGGAAGATCTTCGACGACGACGTGAAGATGAGGAAGGCTTTTTACGATACTAGTATATAACAAATACAAATAGCAGTTCATCAATTAATCAATTTTTCAGTTAAAAAATTGTTTCAAATAAAATTAGATAAATTCTCATCAATCCAAAACTAACTCGCTTAATTTTATATCACGCAGTACTGCACTAAATAGGATCTTTTTCATGAATTATAACACAAATCAATCAAAATTGAAGCGCACAGCAAATTATTGGAAATAAATAATCTGAATTGCTCAAATTAATGTACAATTAATTGGGAGAATTCTCGACGAGATTTTGACTCAGAGATAATAATTTCATCTTACATGCACAGGAGYCTTCTTTGAGACTGTATATGTTCCCGTCGAGAATTTCATCATAGCGTCTCTTGCGTCGTCGATGATAGAGGGGAAAGAAAACCCATCGGAGTTATAGAACTGCAAAACCAAGAAAACTGAAATCACCAACAGTACAACAAGTGTCTTCATCTTGAGGATTCAACGGTGTAGTTGAAAATGAATCAGAGAGAGTTAATATTTTCTTTATGTTATCTTGGCCAAGACGTGGGTAACTTTCGGTTGTTGTTTCTCCGTATCATATCAAACGTAACGGTCCTTTTTCGGAATTTTTGTACACGATTTTTCGCGTAGTGGTATTAATTCAGTGTCTTGCTGAGTTTTCTTTATGCTAGAGTATGAATATTGAGTATGTTTTTATTCCTCTTTGGCTACTAATAGGTTTAGCTTAATTTGCACATAGTAAAACTTCAAGAAACACACAATCTCGCAAGGTTGCAATTGTCCGATGGAAAGTCAGACATTTTTGTCTACATGTAAAGCTGTTTTAATTATAATTATAACTATATTAATATTCATTTTGCACATTGACTTGCTTACACTTTCATATGGTTAAACAGGCCAACAAGCTCAGCGGCACAAGTTTCTAGAAATCTTGCTTTGTTAACTTAATATGTCATTTGATCAACAGAAAAATAATATAAACACAAATCTTTTAATATCAACCGTAACAACAAGAAAAACAATAAAAAACACGAAAGTTGCTACATCAAATGATTAATCCCTAACTATTATCGTAAAAATACTAAATGCAGTGTTTAGTTCTACGTGTTCAGTGTTAATTTAAAATGCTATGAGCATCATTTATCGTTGGCTATTTAAAGTGTTCAGTCTTTTTTTTTAATCTCCGGTGTAAATGCAATGTCATTTATCAACTGAGCAAGATGATACCTCTCCCAGAACATCATCATCAAGTACGTACGATTATCATATTCAAAAGGAAAAATGATTTTTTTAATGTTTACTGTTCATACGTACGTACGATATCACGTTCAAAAAGTAAAATGATTTTTTTAATGTTTACTATTCATAATGTCAGTAGTGTTCCGGTAAAGTAGCTCGACTGTTTGAAGTCTTTGAAATGATTATAGTTCTAAAAATAGTGGTAGAAAAGAAGAATGAGCGAAAGAAAATCGGAAAGACTCTAAATTATGGGAGAATAAAGGCTGTAAATTTTCCTAACAAGAAAAGAGAGAGCGGGGAAGGGCATCAAAACAAAAAAATCACAGTCAATAAAGGCTCATGCGATTTCAGTATGAAAGCAAAGACAAACGATTTCTTTTCATATCTTTTCAAACATTATTTTTCCAAACACAATTACTAAAAAATCTTTGATTGTACAAATAAAAACTAATACAAAATTCGCTGTTTATTTACATTTCACTGATGAACATTCTCAATCACAAAGAAAGGTTTATAATTCACTTTGAACACATAAAAGCGTGCCGTTTCGCTTCTCCTCCGGTTAAAAGTCTTTGATAATAAAATTACTTGCTAGCTTGAAAACATCTTTTAATRGATACAACGTGCAGCATTAAGTTCATGTTTTCAAGTAGTTTTATAGAAAACGTCATGCAGATTTACTTAAAACTAGTGTTCAACTTAATTAAATTTTATACTATCCGACCAGCGTTCATATTGAAGTGTTTTACTTTATAAATTTATACACTAAACAGAAAAAAGCCGGTCTTATAGCGTGATTTTTAGTTATATATATAGAAAAATTGAATTAAAGCTTGGCAGGGGAGCCCAATTTAGTTAGGTACAGCACTTGGGAATTTTAAGAAGGCGCGAGAGATTTTGTCTACCTCCATAATATTGATCCCACACGCGCATGCTCATAACCTACTAAAACAGTCACCCAATCACAGCCCGAGTCATGAACAAGTTATTCTACGGCCTTGTGTACTGTATATAAGTTTATTTGACCTCAAATGTACTGCCTTTATAATGATAAGCGATGCGTGATTCGTGAAATGAAATAAGTCGGAAGTGTCATTCGGTTTAAGGACAACAAGAGCTTTTCTTCCGTGATGTGTTCATAATCTGCTGTTTATTTACGAAAGGTGTACGATTCGCTGAAGTATCAAGTTCAACATCAAATCTACAATTAAACCGACAGAAAGACTGAAAAAGTCGAAAGAATTGTGGAGTACGGTCTCGCGTAGAAGCCGCTCTTAATTTTAAACAGCATTTTTTTGACAACTCAATTCAGGAGATTTCTTGCACCTTGGAAAAMATTTCATGGTAACTGGCWCAGACCTGGAWGATCARAAGAATTGTKGAGTACAAAAGAAGCAATTTTTAATGAAAAATAATCTTTAAAATATGGATTTTGCGATTGGAAAGATCATTCGATAAGCTTCACTCAGTATCTTCAGTTGTGACTGGGAATATAGTCCGCCTTTTTAGGGTRCTCTTCTTGGCTCAGATCTGAGCACTGGACTGAGAGGACTGTCAACTGGCAAGCACTTTGTTTACTCTCTCAAGAAACTTGGATGAAAAATATAGACTAAAACTCAAAAAGAAGAAAGATTGGAGAGAATTCTCTAGCGCAGTCAGTATTGACGCTTTCTACAAACTTGCGCAACACGCGATCTACGTGACGTTTAACGACCTGGTAGATAGAAAACATTTCTCCCTATTGCGAAATTTTGAACTAAATTATTAGATCGAAAGGGATTGAATATCGCTGTTATTCCTTTTAAGTCGTTTTAAATTAAAATTGGACGTACAGTTATTGCTGTGGGCAAACGCCTACTGGCTCACGGAGAGGTATAAAGTTTCGCTTCCTATTTTCACGAATTCACACTTGAATTGGAATTAAACCACTGGAACGATTTGGAAGCTTATAAGTCAGTGTTAATCCMAGTCTTTCTACAAAAGAAGATCAAGATTTTATAAATTGAATCTTAATACTTGGATTAATTTCTTGGAGTGGACTTTGGTCGGTAACATTAGATATATCAGGTGTTCCACACAGTCAGRCTATTTGCGTCGACTTCGGCAGTTTCAGGCGTTCACTACGTCAAAACTCCATATATTGATCTAATTTTGGAGTTAAAAATCTCATAAACAACCATTGTTTATTCGGTTTAAGAGAGAAGTGCTTTTAGCATCACCTGCTGCTGTAGGATGAACTAATTAGCCTCAGAATTAAGACTCTCAAGAGCAGAAGAAAGTTATCGTCTTGGTTACACTAAAACTCTACAGCACCTGCCCGCGTCAAACAGAGTTCCCGTATCAAGAAATCGMCATCAYATACTWTTAAGGTGAGCTAGSACCGGAGAACTTCTGAGATAGTCACTTAGAATTAAATATTATATTTCTTTATAGGCTCTTTTCTTTTTGGCTCTAATATTTTTTTCTCTATCTCTGAGATACGTATCTCGCATCATTGCATGAGATTATTACTGAACTAATATCACAATCTATCAAACCAGACAACATTGAATTAAAWCCAGTGTTCTGTTTTGAAACAGCGTTATGCAGTCTGCTAGGAATTTAAGCATTTGAGCAAAATATAAGCGAAACAGGTAATTTCTTATACATTCAGAGCGGTTTTTATTTCTGTCTTTGAAAATAGTGTTTATTTTCAAGACGAAACATTGAAAATTCCAAGAGAAAGAGAGAGGTGGAGCCACGCACTGTTAAATCACTATGAATGATATTCGTCCGGCGACATYGCTTCAGGCACTTGTCTAAAGGTTTTCATATACACGTACCAARACTTTTACCTTGAAAATAATCATGTATTCTGGCACGTCTTGGCTTTTAAAACAAGTGATTTTAAAGGAATGATTTTGTTATCAAGTGTGATGTTTTGGATTTAAGATCCCTTTAAGTGCAACTTAATCTCAGACATCATTGTGAAAATGACATTCTTTAAATAAGATGTTTTTACACTATTATATTTGTGAATATATTTTTTTTTTCTTCTCGTTATTATTTCCCGCTATCCAGATGGTATATTGATAATATGAAGTCTGATCTTGAACAGTACTGCTCTTGGCAAATCTTCAGCTCTTTTTGCGCAACACATTAAATTGCAGCGGTCGGYATTTGATTAGAGAAATCTTTTTACTTCATTAAAATTTTTCAACCTTTGCTTGAGGGACTGGMTTTTACGCTCTCTTTGTGATGAAATTTTAATCTGTGAAAATATAATGTTTCACGCGATCAGGGCGAAAATTACGAAATACGCGCAACGGTAATCATCGAGCGAGTGTTCTGKACGTTTTAGTAATGACTCGTTTTTGATTATGAAACTATCATCTCAGTTGTTGAATCTTTTTATTCTAGCTATATTCGTGGAGCAGTGTTTCAGCTAATTTTTTAAAGAGTTTTTCTTAACGCGCGCTCTGATTGGACCAATCCATCGTTTAATGCTTTATTGTTCCATTTGTGTTCGACAGGTTGTCAACATGACTTGTCCTGTTAAAGACGTCATTGAAGCAGCTCTATCGTCTTGTTTAGCTCTGTTCAGCATTGTGGCCAACATCATCGTYATCCTCGTTATATATAAAAACGTTTCACTACAAACTCCAGTGAATCTCCTCTTAGTTAATCTCGCCATTGCTGACATGATTGCCGCSGTGTTTGTCCTCCCMAGGTTCACCTTCAAACTCATTTTAAAYTACCCAGAAGGCAAAGGGGGCGATATTCTGTGTAAATTTGTCCGTGACGTGTCATGGATTGGTGGCCAGGCCGCCGCGTTCACGCTCGTTGCTATAGCATTTGAGCGCCATTTTGCAATATTGTATCCTTACCGTAGACTTGGAAGGATTTCAAAAGCGAAGTATAGAKTTATTGTTATTGGGAGCTGGATTTACGGCGTATTGTTAGAGCTCCCTTCGATATAYTCATCCAAATATAACAGCGATTTGGCAATATGCGATGAAAAGTGGGACAGCAAACTTCTTGGTCAGCTGTATTCCGTACTCTTATTCACAATGAACTTTGTAGTTCCYATGGTAATCCTCTGGTTTGCATATTTTGGAATTCTGAAACACTTTTGGGGCATGCGCAATAAGACGCGCGTTGATGACGTCAGCAATATGGCGCTGTTCCGRTTCAGGAAAAGAGTAACGGTCGTGTTGTTAGCCGTAACGCTGTCCTATGGAGTATGTTGGCTGCCACAAGTGCTATTYTACATGATTTATCACTTGTCAATCGACGACCCSGTCATAAAATATGACTCCACGTTGTACAATTTCGCTGTCATACTTGTTGGGCTCAACTCGTGTCTTGATCCTATCTTTTACAGCCTCCAAAGCGAGCGATTCGGTCGAGCTGTCAAACGAATGTTCTGCTGCAGAAGGAAAAAGCCTGTAGAAAACTTGGATTTACAAATGACAGCTTTTACGGTGAACTTATTCATGCAAAACAAATCAATTTCGCTCAAGCTTTACGCGAGCTTAAATCTATAAGAGATACGTAAAGTTTACTACGTAAAAGAACTGCGCACAGGCTTTACGCGAGCTTAAAGTATATGAGATACGTAAAGTTTACTACGTAAAGAAAACTGCGCACAAGCTTTACGCAAGCGTATGGATTCGCATATCTATACCGAAAGTTACTACGTGAAGAAACTGCGTATTTCTTTGCTATGACTGTATCTGAGACGAAATAATTACACACTAGCTTTACGTGACCGGGTAGTTACGTACATAAGCTAAGAATCTGACGTTTCTGTTCGAAAACTGACGTTTTCTTTTTTTATTAGACAACATTTATGCAACCCACTGTACATTCTATAAATACCGGATAGCCTTCAGAGTACGATAAACATTATATCAACCCTTAATTASTGTTATTTCACAAAAGACAGTTAAAATTCCTCAAGGTTTTGCTTTTGTCACCGTTGGAATTCTTCAAAAGTGACAAAGCATGAGTGACGTCCAGAATTCGCATCGCTCAAATTTTTGAGCATTAGAGCAATGCATTGGTATTTAAAGAAAACGTAAAAAATTCTGATTTTATCGGCTTGTGCATGAAGGTTAGTCATTTTACACATCTCTCTCGAGTGTTTATTATCACGTATGTATTCATATCGAAAGTTTTCAATAAATATCAAACTCAATACACAGAAGTTATATATTCGACTTTGATCAAATGAAAAGTCTTAAGAAAAAATTTAATCTTATTGACTTTAAGAGCTTAGCAGGGACAATCCCACATACAGGTAACTAGTCAAAATATTCACAAATCAGCTTTGAAAACTCATTTACCGATTGGAAATCCGTTCTGTTTTTTGTAACTGAATTGAACGACATTCTTTATCATGGCGAGAACCCCGTAAGGTGCTCAATCTATCTCTCGAGGGGTTTTCCGCCCGTCAATTCGAGCTGGCCGCGTAGCCAGTCGAACAGATAGTCTGAGACAACGATTTTTTCAAAAGATTACATGAMWTTCTAAAAGGTTGTCTCGGGAGAGAACATCGAATGCACGACCGAAAGGTACTGTGGGTTTTAATTATSGAGACACCACAAGACAGTCAATGGTGTTTATATTTCTCATTGTGTTCAATAATAATAACAATAATGATAATAATAACTTGTTAGGTCTGTTGACGTTTTAGRGCAGAGCATTCATTATCCATGAAATATTGATTACCGACAGCCTTTTGGACACACATTCGTCATTCTCTTCGATAACTTTACTTGCATGAAATAGCGATATCAAATAAGTCTTACAAAATGTTTCAAAAATGCAAAGCAGTTTCATGTCATTCAAGTCCTTCCAGCTTATTCTCAGACACAAGTGTTTTTCATTTCATGGTGTTAAAGTGTTCCTCTTATCTTTGGGGGGCTAATGACGGGGTAAATATTTATTCAGTCAGCGAACTCGCACATGTTTATCAGTCTAGACAATGAGGCAATAACTTCGACCCGCATATCACTTAGCTGGGTTCARTGATGAGAAMTGCGCATGATCAGWGGGYTTTCTTCATAGTTGAGTCCGCGACCAATTGTAAGCACTACTCGTCATTATCGCGTGTAAAACACTCAACATTCGG